AAAGTCAATATGGGCTGATGTTGGCATGTGGGATGGCTTTGCTGTTTTGTTTTGTCCTTGGCTTTGTTGCGCTTTGCAGCTACGCAACGTGGATGATGCCTTTGTGGAGTGCAAGAAGTCAGCCTGAAAGGGTCCAATGCTTTCGCTTTTGCACATCCAAATATCGATTGGATGCATACTGGTTTGTCGTGCCTGTGTGTCTCCGACATTTGGGCATTGCTCTATCCATCGCAGTGGGGACCAATATGCCACCTGCACAGACAGCAGGGGCAAGCATCGTCCTGGTAATATACCTCATCATGCAGGTTGCTGTGCAACCGTGGAAAGCACCTCTGATGAACATCGTAGACATTGCAGTGACTGCAATATTTGTTCTACTGCTAAACAAGTCCATCCAAGTAGACCCTCAAATGGAAATGGACTTTGCTGAGCTCTCCGCGTTCGCCTTTCTGCTGCTACTCGTCCTGCTTTAGGCTGGTTTTCCAGTGATCACTGATCGCCCTTCGAGACCTTTCCTTATGTGCCACTGGCATTTTGTGTCTCTGACTCTGACTTCAAGTTTGTTGTACTGGGTGGTTAAGTGAATGCAGCCAGTCACCTTGCCCTTTAACTTTTTTTGCGCCTGAGGATCCTCGCTATTTGAAAATACGCTCAAAGTCTAGCAGCATTTCATATGATTTTATGAGAACATGTTGAAGTATACTAAGTATATTGACGTGCTACAAATCAAGATCAATCGAACTCGAGGTTGATGATCTTTGGACTTGTTTTCGCCAGCGTTTGTGCTGCCGTGGCTCTGGTTCTCCACCACGCTGGACACAACGTGAATTGCATCTTGGATCTCAGGAGGCAAAAAGAATCCGAAGAGATTGCGAAAGCCTTGAAGGAATGTGTCTCTGCTGAAATCTGCTGAAATTGAAGTGCTGATCTATATAGAAATATCTAGAAAATATCTAGAATACATTGAACGCTGAAATATATTGAAATATTGTATCCATATGGCTTTGCAATGCTGAGCATCTCAAGCATGTCAATAAATTTTGAATCCATCTAAAATATCCAAAATCAAAACCTGAATGGAAAAGAGTTGTATTACGCTGATTAACATCATGTGTTGTATTGACATGTTGTGTTTGTGCAACTTCGGTGTGCGCTCAGACGGTAAAATCCCAGCCCGATCTAGGAGCTTGCCGCACTGGGTTTCAGTAGGATCTGGTTGAGTTGGTATGATTTCCGTGCATGAGGCTGTACGTCAAGAAGTTCAGACATCATTTCTTTGATGATTTTCTGTTACCCTCCGACCAATGAATTGCAAATAATTGCCATGTTTTTACGTTTGTAGAAGGTATCAGAAGATATCAACGATACGGAGAAATCTATGTCCACGGCCTCATTGTGGCCTCTGTGCAGGTGCGGAACATCTCCTGCAAATCAACCTCTCCGATTTGTCCGAAACGATTGACCACATGAACTCCTATGATGTGAAGACCATCCTGGATCTCATCAGTTTGCTCTCGCTGGAACTTGAACTTCGCAGCAACATCCACCTCAACATGCGGGTGCCTCTGAGCTCCCTAAACTACCGGCTGACACGGGCCAGGCTGACGGCCAGGCTGTCGGCCAGGCTGACGAAGACCTCAACTGCGGCTGTTCCAAGTCCATGTGACTCGATGGGAACTGAGTCTCCGATTTTTTGATTTCGAAAACTCTTCCTTTGTTTATCTTTGTTTATCTTCCTTTGTTTATCTTTGTTTATCTTCCTTTGTTTATCTTTGTTTATCTTCCTTTGTTTATCTTTGTTTATCTTCCTTTGTTTATCTTTGTTTATCTTCCTGTGTTTATCTTTGTTTATATTCCTTTGTTTATCTTTGTTTATCTTCCTTTGTTTATCTTTGTTTATCTTCCTTTGTTTATCTTTGTTTATCTTCCTTTGTTTATCTTTGTTTATCTTCCTTTGTTTATCTTTGTTTATCTTCCTTTGTTTATCTTTGTTTATCTTTGTTTGCTTCCAAGACTCTAATGGCTGAGTTTCTTCGCGAGGATCATGTTGCTGTGTGAATTCACCCTTGTTCCATTTATAAAGCGCCTCTTGGATAAGTGATCCCTTCGATTTCGAGTCGTCGATCCCCGTCGGAGATCTACGGGTGAGGTGCTGACGAGGCTGACGCTGCTGTCCCTCCTGACCGGCCAGAGCTGGAGCTGTCGGAGCCGGCAGATGATTCTGAGGACTCTGACGGCATTTCATTGTGAGCCTTGTGAGCGCTACGCCGTAGCCGCCAAAGATGCCACTGAATTTGTGCCCAGTGACCTGTTGACTGGCAGCTGAGCACCCAACGAAATAGCTCAGCACATTGATCGGTTATCAGCTCACCGCGAGAAGGACCGCAAAGTGGTTCCATTTCGATTTCGCCCAAGCTTCTTTGCAAAACGGGTGCAGGCGCTGCAGGGAAGCACAATGACATGAGAAGAGATGACATGAGATGAAACCAAATATCAGGCTGAGGATAGGCATGTGTAGAGCAATGTGGTTTTGAAATGTTTTTGAGTGTCTCACAAACGACTGTGCTTGACTTGATGCATATCAAGCAACGGCTCCCCACATTGCCGCAGCAATCTCATCCTGACATGAAACCAATCTTCGTTGTTCACAGGGTCGACCTGAACAAACAAGGACAATGATGATGGCAACAGAAACAAAGCAGCAAAAACCCTTTCAACTTCTTGTCCTTGCGTAAAATACGTTGGCATTTGCAAAAGCACTTTCAAATTTGCATTTCCTTCCTCGCGACCCTGGTGATCTTCACTGGTGCATTTCAAGCTTGTGAAGGGAAATATGACAGCAAATCATGCCCCTGCCTTCCAAGAGATTGGTTTAGTTTGCACATTTCCCTATGCAGCTCTGGAACAGTCAGCCAGTTCAGAAGCACAAAATGATTCCGCCATGGATTTCGAGGACTTTCTCATTGAGTATGCTGGGACCTTAGAACTGCCGTGCGCAGGTTGGCGCCACTTTTTCAAAAGGATGGGCCAACATGTTTTTTTTTATTTTTTTAATAGGCCTATTTTTTCCAAAGTCCCCCCTGCCATGGCAATCTATGGCAATCTGTTAACTGAGGACCTCACGGAAGCACAACTGCAGCTTGCCAAAAAGCTCAAAGCTGAAGCCAACTTCAGGACATTTGCGCTGCAGGGACTGAGAGTACCAAAGGATGGACAAGGGGTGAACACAGGATAGATGAAACATGATGAAACTGCTTAAACATACTTAAATTGAAACTATCTTAAGATCTCAAGATGATATGGACGGAATTTGTCAGTTTTTTTTCCAAAGGTGGCTTGGCGTTACGCCTTTCCAAATCTTGTAGGCAGTTGCTCAATGTTCTCGGGGATCATGCGCTGTTCTTCAGCCGCCAGCTCGGGCCCTGGGTGGACCATCTGGACCCGAAACCTGGTCATCCTCACATGCGTCACATGTTTCTTCGCCTGGACAAGCGTGCTGAATACAGGTACGCCAAGAGACAGAAACCCGAGAAACCCGAGAAAGAGGGGCGGAGAAGCGAGGCCCATGGACTGGGCGACATTTTCACATCCAGGATGGTCTAGAGTCTAGAGATGTTTGCTCCAGCGCTCATGCGCAGAACACAACAGAAGACAACTATCCATCTCTTTTTAGCTCCAATGCCGCCATGCCGCCAAAATACATGGTTCTTATGTGTTTCAACAAACCATCACCGGCAGAGCGAGGTGCTGGGGTGGTTCGCTTCTCTATCAGTGGGGAGCCTGAGTTCGTGTTTCCCAACAGTGGAAACTCTGGTTTTTTCTCACGTAGCTATGGACAGATCCACCATTTTTCATGGGAAAACTCACTATAAATATATAGCCATTTTCAAGTTCGCAAACTGTTAGTTTACCAGGCCGGGTACATTTCGTGCGATGCAAAACTCTGCTTGTGGCGGGTGCTGGAACAGTGCCGATTTTCTTCTGCAGGTGGAGGAGCGATTGGCCGTGCTCAGTTGCAACGAGGAGGGTGCCTGCCCCAGCTGCCCAGCTGTCAGTGGAACTCGTTTTTGAACCGGAGAAGATTTTTCCTGGCTCTATTCCGAATAAGACTGATGGCTGCAGGTTGGGTGCAGGCGGTGTTGAAGATGAACAGCCATGTGACCGCTGGAGGCTGAATGTTTAGCCATTGCCCCACATATTGACGGCTTTGGAACACCAAACAGAATGCCCCGCGATGACTGAGTAAGGGGAAGCTCCCCAAAATATTCCAAAATGAAAAACCATTTGAGGTTGGTTGAGGTTGCTTTTTGTAGAGTCAGAGATAGTGACTCATGCTCCAAACAATGAAGACGCCCTTTGGAATTTCATTTCTTCTCTCAGAGAATGGATGCATCATCTCTAGTCTCCGATGTGCCCAACCACCACCAGCGATCCCTTGGAAGGTGCACAAAGGCAAGGCCACTTCAAGGCGTTGAGACGGTGGGTTGCCGTCGCCATGGATCGCTGGTCCGTTTTTCGGGCGTTTGTACCTGTCATGATGAAATCAAGAAAGAAACTTGCAAAATCTGTGCAACATATTTTTTGAAAGGTATTGGCTTTGTATGGTTTTGTCATGTTTTGTCAATGGCTGGCTGCTAGCTGCTAGCTTTCTTCAGCAGTTTCCTAGATTCTCACGGAACACATATTCTTGGTCGAACTTGTAAGAGGTGCTCAGTGCTATCGTTTTTTTTCAAGGAAGTGGACAAGTCCAGGTGACTTTGAAACCTGCTCCCAATAGCTGGGACCGTCAGAGAGAAAGTGCAAAGTCAGAAATTCACCCAAAGGCGTTCTGGGTGTCATCCAAATAGACAGCAAAATCCTTATCGACATGGAAACCTTCAATCCATCAATATCTTAGGTCGGCGGCAAGGGGGTACTTCTTCGACGCGACCTAACAGAGAGGTCAAGGTCCACTACCGTCGACCTCACAGGCGGTGCCTGCATTCATGGAGAGTAATGGAGAGGGATTAGAGAATGAGATACTGCTGACAGAATGAGATACTCACTGCTCGAACAATAAGGCTACAGCTGACATTACTGACATTCAAATCCCAGTCGGCTGCACACTGCTTGAGGCGTATGTGTTGGGTCTGGGGGGATTGATATTTTTCGCTTCCGAGTCCAAGTTGTGGTCACAGCACAACAGCACAGGCTGCCTGATGGTGTTCCAAGCTCAATGACGCTGAATTTCAGGAATTTCCAGAATGAGCCGAGCCCACCAGCTGAACAGCCCGAGGAAGTGCTAGCGCCACCAGCAACCACGGCCTTTCGTGTGGCTCTCAGCTTCTTCGCTTGTGGCAGGGAAGCGCTGTCAAAATGTTGAGGGATTACAGCGGAGATGTCTCAGTATATATATATATATATACAGTATGGATTTTTATACACATATAGTACGTACGTACACATATACACATACACACACAATATATATATATATATATACATATACACATAGATAGGGTCTTGCGCGGCGGGTGTGATGATATAGTATGTGCAAGTTTATGCTGACGGACTGAGAACCGTGCCCGTAAAAACAACGTTTTTTGGCTAGAGTGGGTTGGGGTCGGATGGGGTGGGCGATTAACGTTCATTTGCAATTTCGTAAGGTAGTGATACTAAGCTAATATTGGTAAAACAGCTCCCCTATTTCTTTTCAAACCGGGGAACCACAAAAATCAAAACAAAACTTTTCTTTTTTTGGGGGTAGGTCGGTCAATTAATTCCCTTTCTTTCCCCTTTAAGATCAATTCACAATGGAAAAAAGCCAAACAACTTGCCAGGACAATTCCATAAGTTTATTATTGAATTATTGATTTTAGTGCTGATGAAATATCTTGTTTGGAAGGACGTAAATTTACCCGGGATCAAAAAAGTAGCCTTAAATAAGCAACTTTGCTCATTTTTGAGCTCACAGATGACCCTTAAATGTGTTTTTCACCCGAGAATCTACAAGAATTATCGCGTAGCGGCTCCAAACTCAGAATGCATCGAATGCCCCAGCATTCGATGTCATAGATAGTGGAACTTCTCTATATCTAACTGACTTACTGTGAACTTCTTAGTTACATATTGACTATCCACTACATAGTAACATTGGTATATAAGTAACAAATATTGGTGACATCTTATTACTGTGAACTATACTTCTTATCTAGTAACATTGGTATCAAATATTGATTTGCCAGGACAAGCAGCGACGCGACTGAGTCGCCATCTTCGGGTAGAACTGCGATCGACCTCTGTGGTGCGGTGATTTTGGCAAGTGGGAAACATAGGAAACACATTGATAATCTGGAGATAGTGGAAAATGTGATGAAAACATGATGAACATTCCATTTTCAAGACTGTTTCAACATTTTGGACCCAAGTGGTAGACCAATCATTCAAATCCACTGGTTTTATCATCAATTCCCCCATGAATCAGTGGGCATAAACAGGTGTATCGTTGCCCGGGGACATTAATTAACTGGCGTTCAGAAACGGTCACAGAGGTTCCACCATCAAGGTGTTTGGTATATAATCCTATTATCCCATTATAAAGATGATTATCCCATTATAACCATTTAGTGGTGTTTGTTTTGCTCCCAAAGTTCCATGAAATTCGAGATACTTCGAGATCTCTTGAGGCCAAAAATTCTCGAATGGCCAGGCGATCGACTGGGGTGCCATCGTGCCATCGCCTGGCCTTCTGTCTGATAGCCAGGACTGTTCTGGCAGGGGCACTTTCGAAACTACAGGTGCCTATATATAATATAATATAATATATATAATATAATATAATATTATATTATATTATACTATATTATATTATGTTATGCTATGTTATGTTATATTATGTTATATTATAATATTATATTATATTATATTATGTTATGTTATGTTATGTTATATTATGTTATATTATAACATTATATTATATTATGTTATGTTATGTTATATTATGTTATATTATAATATTATATTATGTTATATTATATTATATTCGAATATATTATTACATAATATATATATAAATGCATCATATGTATATATATATATATGTATATATGTACATATATGTATACATATACACATAAATGCATCTATACATACATATGCATACATACATATGCATATATACATATGCGTATATACATATATGTTTATATATTATATATATGTATATATGTATATATGTATATATGTATATATGTATATATGTATATATGTATATATGTATATATGTATATATGTATATATGTATATATATATATGTAAATACATACGTATATATATATATGTACAAATGTAAATACATACGTATATATATATACATATGTATATATATATATGTATATGTATATATATATATACACACGTATATGTATATGTATATATATATACATATGGCCCAGTGTCTGGTGGTCCCCCCTCCCCCCGAGATGGTGATGGTCCCTATATGTATATGGATATATACAAGATTATACAAGTATATGTGTATGCATCTGTATATATAAGTTATATATATATATATATAAATGTATGTAAGTAGGTTACATGTGTGTGTATATATAAGTATGCAGTATCTATATGTACATGTCTATGTATCCCCCCCCGTGGATGGAGTGGCAGGCCTTCATCGGCCTCATGGACGAGATCTCGCTTGGAAGGCAATCACTTCAGTGTGTAGTGAAAAGCACGGTCAATTGGAACATTATGGAATCCGAATTATGGGATCCGAATCCCCTGGAACATTTGATACTAGGAATTTCCAGAATTTTTGGGCCAGAGAGTGAAAACCAGGAGTCACTGTGTTGAGGCCAGGCGAAAGAACGAGACATGGACCAGATGGCAAGATCCAATGGTGGTGATTCCAGACCGTGACCGTTTCTCTTTATAGCCTCGGCATCGCAGGTTTCTTCAGGAGGAGCCTGGCAAAGCACAGTGGACACCATGGGCTGAAGTAGGTTTCTCAAGCGCGAAGGGCAGATTTCTATGTAAATGGCCTGGATGGTAGCCCTGGCAAAAAATGGCCTTCGAGGCACACACACATACACACACACACACGTTCCCCTGCTGGAAGGAGAAAGGGAAGATCAAGGATTGGGAATGTATGACGTAAGGTGATTGCACGTGTGTTTGCACATTTTGCACATGCATCTCGTGCATCTTGAGAGATTGGCAGGGATGGCAGTGTCACGGATGCAAGGCGAGCTGGCTGGGGCAATGGGGTAGCCACTTTCCTTTGGCTGCCTTTCTTGCTTCCCGACTTGAGGTGGGAGAGACAAGGGCGCATTTGGGTGTCGACGTTTTTTCCAAGAGAACAGTTGCTTGTTGATTCCTTCACAGTTTCTTGAAATATCAGAGCCTTCACGGAATTGCAGCAAGAACAGCCTTTTATTTCCACCTGGCAAATGGCCGAATGATTCTTGGGGCATATGATGCCTGAGCCACAACAAGGGACAAAGCTGTGGTGTAATCAGTACCCCATATCCCTGTGTGTGGTTAGCTGATTGGCTATAGAAATCTATAGAATATGATTGGGATAGTATATATTACCTGATTGTTATATATCAGTATCCCCTGATGGGAAGAATTTGGCAGATACTTTGACAAACTGAATGTGGGACAAACCTCCATTGCCAGAGTAGAAAGTTGTCAACCTGACAGCCCCAGCTTTGCAGGTGTTGCTTTTTCAAGGATATGCCTCACGCTTGCAGGACAGCATCCAATGGTCGACAGAAACGGATATTTTCTGCTTGAGATGTGTGCCACAGGACCCTGTGCGTCCTGCAATCTTGCCATTGGCAGAGGTGGAACCGACATGAAGACAGAGGAGAAACGGAGAAACGGACAGATTGGGGACACGCGAATGCCCGAATGCCGAAGACTGCCAATTGACCCATGGTAAGAATCCACAATTGATTCCTTTTCGCCCAAACTTTTGGCGTTTGAGCCATGTCACAGCCCGGGGACCAGGTGTGGGCTTCGATGCCGCAGCAGCAGAGGGAGATATCCTGGGCACGCCTTGGTGGGGAAACCCATTGAAACTGATCGGAGGCATGTCTAATATGAGTCGCATTTTTCACGCCTACATTTTTTCAGGCTTACAGTGGGCTTACAGACTCCAAAATCTCCTGAAATTACATGACTAGAAAAATATAAACAGATTGAACAGATTCATGGGGAAGAAATTGGATGATTTTGCGATGCAGACCATTTGGGTCGACAAGATGATTAGTTGGCCCATGTGAAGCCAACAAATGTGGTCCTTCAGCTGTGGAAGGTCGATGTTTGCTGCGACGGCTCCTGTCAGAGACTTTGGCCTCGGCGTTTCATGATGCAGGCGCATCTGAGCCGCTGAGCTACCATCTTAACGGGTGCTTCAGATAGGCAGATAGACGTCACATGCCAAAAGGCAACATGCTCGAGGCTTGCTGAAGGCGACTGGGCTTCCCTACATAATCGCAAAACTTCGAAGCTAGCCAAGTGGCTAAGCCTTTTTGATCTGAAATAAGCATCTCAATGAGTACTGTAATGTATGCCGATTATGTACGTATTATATACATATTATAAACATATTACAAACATATAATATTCACAATATGTACATATTATATACATCTTGTACACATCTTATACACATCTTATGTACATATTGTATACATCTTATATACGTCTTACTATGTAAAATACATATACATATAACCTACATATTATATACATATCATACACATCTGTATGCAAATATTAATCATTATGTACAGATTATATACATCTTATATACTTATATACATCTTATAGACACATATATAATATCTATATACATATCATGTACGCATCACATATATTGTATACATATTATATACATATTATTTACATATTATATACAAATATTATATACATATTATATACGTATTGTATACATATGATATATATATATCATACAGATTATATACATATTATATACATATTATATTCATATTCTATACATATTATATACATATCATATACATATTTTATACATATTATATACTTATTATATACATATTTTAAACATATTGCATACATATTATATACATATTATATACATATTATATACATATTATATACATATTATATACATATTATATACATATTATGTACATATTGTATGCATATTACATGCATATTATATACATATATACATATATACATATTATATACATAGAGTTATATGCATCGTGTTATATGCATACTATATACATATTACATACATTTGATATACATATTACATTTATATTGTATATTGTGTACACATTACACAACTTATATACATATTATACACATCAATATATATATATATATATTACATAAACATACACATTAAGAAGTCAATGTATATATATATACACACCATATCTCAATTGTGCAGCGTGGATACCTGTATTAGCCACATATAGATCTCAATATATTTTCATTTGCTCTATGTGCTTGCCGCTTTGGCTTAAAGATCATGAGTCCGAACCGACCCCTTCCATGGCCATGCTGCGCCTCTTAGCTGCAAGAGGAACAATTTCCTGGTGAAACGGGCTGTCTGTGAATTCGTAAACGGGGGCACTTCTGAATTTTGGGGAGACTTGATGTTGTCTCTTTGGCATAAACCAGCAAGTTCTGTGAAGTAGCGGACGGTTTAGTGCAGGTCAGATTGCACGTGACGTAATTGAGTAATGTGACAATGCACATGGTGGATTTTTTCTGGTCACAACCACTATATACCAGGTTTGGCTGCTGTGGGGTTCGTCATTTGGGTCCCCTTATGTCGCATGTCGCACTCGTCTCAAGTGGTGATCGAGCAGCCAGGTCTTGCTTTGACCCTAGCACTGGTTGCAGCACAAGACTGTGAGACAGGCAGGGAGATGACATGAGACGAAAATTCAACAGCTTTCGGCAGTGACGGATCCCTAGGAGCGGCATGTCATGCCTTTTTCAGTGCAGGTACCGATGCTTCTCTAGCGTAACTTGGTTTCACAAGGGCCATGGAAGCAGCTAAGCAATGCTTCTCCTGACACCACTCAAATTCTTTAGCTCATTCTTGTGATCAGAATCGCAGTAGCGAAAGGAACAAAAAATAGACATATGATTCAATAAACATCAATAAACATCAATAAACATCAATAAACATCAATAAACATCAATAAACATCAATAAACATCAATAAACATCAATAAACATCAAAAAACATCAATAAACATCAATAAACATCAATAAACATCAATAAACATCAATAAACATCAATAAACATCAATAAACATCAATAAACATCAATAAACATCAATAAACATCAATAAACATCAATAAACATCAATTAACATCAATAAACATCAATAAACATCAATAAACATCAATAAACATCAATAAACATCAATTAACATCAATAAACATCAATAAACATCAATAAACATCAATAAACATCAATAAACATCAATAAACATCAATAAACATCAATTAACATCAATAATTAAACATCAATAAACATCAATAAACATCAATAAACATCAATAAACATCAATAAACATCAATAACATCAATAATTTGATGACACCATGTCCAGCTGTGTGCTCTGAGGTTCGTTCAGCTGGGACAGGAGCTGGTGAAAGCCCCGAAGGTCCCGATGCCGATGGCCGCGCCTGCAACGCAAGCGCCAAAGGTCGCGCCACTGGGCTCCAGCCGATGTTATGACATGTTTCTCTGAATAAACTGTCAATGATTTTCTCCAGGTTTTCCCAGAAAGTCTCCACTGTCAATGATTTTGATTTTTTAGCAGATTTTGAGGGTGGCTGGTCCAATCACAATGTGCACTGGTGTTCTGAGGCGGAAACCTTTGGTGCACGTTCCAAGGAATTTCGGTCTTGAAGCCCAGATGCAGATGGGCAAGTTGACCTTCCATGACCTTCCAAGGATTTCTTGTTCAACTGCTAATTAGATGCATTCATTGAATGCTAGTTGGCGAATTTGCTTGCCACTGGGCTCATCCGTGCTGACCAGTATTTACCAGGCCGTATTGACCAGGCTCCAAAGCTCCACAGATTGTCTCGGGTGAGTTTCTTTCCAAACTGAGGTGGTCTCAAGAAAGCAGGTGAAGCTGCAGAGGTGCGACCACTCCTCCGTGAACTGCACAAGTTACGAAAAGGCTACGGCAGTGGCTTAGTTTCAGAGCCTGCAGGTAAAAACCATGTTTGGAAGGGACTCGCCCATATATTATGTGCTAATCATGTGCTAATCATGGGCTAATCATGGGCTAATCGCCTGGGCTAATCGCATCATGTTCGAGTGCAACTTGCTGCATCGCTGGAAGGCCGAGGCGATCTCCAAGGGAATCCAAGCACTGGCGCGATATATCTTTGACAGTCTCGCTTACACCATGCCAGTGACGCAGGTGCCGAGGATGCCGAGGATGGTGGGACTTTGCGATGTTTTGTCCAACAGAGTTTTCGCACCAGTCGGGTCCATGAGACTTCGAATTGGGGATGATTTTCTGTAACGGCTGTTGACACTTTGGCAGCTACCCTCAGCTTTGCAAGCCGCCCTATGTTTTGCTTTTCCAAATCCTGTTTCGTTGACATACTACACCAGCATTCTTGGTGGAAAGGATCCAAACTGACCACTTAGGGTTTACTCTCCGGAAGCTGTGTCCAGTTGCTGCAAAATGCATCACCCTGGAGAGGCTTTGAAAGCTGTTTCAAGGGTTCAGATCCCAGTCGAAGATGTGATGCTATGGCGATCCCTTACTGACGAAACTTAAACCTGATGCTCGATGGAAATGTGAAACAGCATGAAGCAGCCAAGACTCCTGAAATCAGAACAGCAAGTGATACCAAGTGGTCACTTGATGTCAGACAAGGTAGTACGTGCAATGTCCATTCAATGCAGTTTTTGTTATGGCATATAGACATTATAGACTTGGTAATTACTTGCTTGATCGGCATCATTTTGCAAGTTGATGCAAGCTTCTGGAGTTTGGGTCGCACCAGAGGTTGAGAATGGAGATGCCAGCCGCAATGGCCGTGATTTGGCCTTTGGAAGTTAGGGACCTGGCTATCAAAGTCGTTAAAGACCTGGCTGAGTCGTATCCTGAAACGTAGCAGAACATTTGAAAAAATGTCTTGGCTTCTCACACCTTTAGCGGTTGTCCTTGGCTTGAAGGCTGAACCATTGGGAGCGAATATTGCGCGAAAACTTCGCAGGTGCGTTTTCTCTTGGTGATTTAGTGCTGCAGTACTTTGGGCGATATTTTAAAGTCTTCAGCTTGATGAAGGGGATGTCCAGGAAGCGTAACTTGTGCACATCCCGCAGGTCTCGCGTTGAGATACTCACCGGGCCGAGGGTGGAGAAACGTGGAGAAAAGATGCGGGGACGGGTCCCAGGGTCTGACGTAGGAATTGGAGGTTTCGACACATCATTGATTCGATTTCTTTGGACATTACACTTCACTTCCCATCCTTTTCTGTTGAAACCACTAGCAGTCCACTCCTGACCCACATTTAGCATATGTTTTGGAATGCATCATTCTGCATGCCATTCTAGATGCCTACATATCTTATGGAGCCATAGAGTCATAGAGGTTGATTTTGAGCGGACTGCCTTCAAAGTTTGCAACATGAGAAGAAGACCTGGGACAACGTAGACTCAGTGTCGATCAATGCATGTAGAATAGACAGAGGAGTTACGTTCCTGGAGCTTTAGGAGATACTCCCACTTAGATCCACTGACAGTAAGCAGAAAGTGTCCATGATTAATAAGGGTACCTTTAAGTAACCATGATTATTAGAAAGTCCCCTGTGATTGTCCCATTTTGAAAGGCTTACTGTATTTCCGTTGTGTTTCCAGTATCTGGTTCCTCTGGTTCCTGGGATCCTGAAGCTCACCGCAGAAACGCTTCCCAATAGCTTGGCCGAGCTGCTGACAGTCACGCCAAAGGTAGCTTGGAGTGTCGATCAGGCGCTTGATTTCATGTGGAGGTACCATAAATGGTGGGGTGATCTTGAGGCACCTGGTAGAGATCGGTAGCTTGGAACTCTCCACTTTCCAGGATTGACAAAGGCACCAAAGGCATCTTCAGCCACCCGCAGAACCACTCACTCAGATATGATGCGCACGACGGGGATTGTGATTTGCACTTGTTTGTTCGCTGTTCACGTGCCCCGAGCATACTACCACACAGCAGACGAACATCAGCCACCTAACATCTACTTGTTTTGCTGCGACAAAGAAGACTTGGAGCATATGCTTGCCACTCATTTTCAACTGCGGATCTACCCACTCCTGGCTGCAGGAACCATCCTTGTCATCGGCACTACAGCTAATTTCCGCAGCTGTGGCCCTGGTGATGTGGTTGATGTCGATGTTGGATGACGTCGGTGAGCGGCATTCGAACGTTTTTTTTAAAGTCATTGAAAGATATGGGAAGCACCGCCACGGCTTTAGGCCTCCACGATGCAGTTGCACCATGCCACCCTGGAGGCAGAAACTGGCGCTGAGGCACAGCCGATTGGGTTTTGCTCGTTTTGCGAAATTGGGTCGTTCCATTCTGCTGGAGATTCTGCTTCTGTACCCGGTCCTTGTCGGTACTTAGTTGGGCATGTTGAGGTCCTGTTGGGTCACCCTTGTGCCTGGCTACACCAGCAACTGTCAGTGGAGCTGGCCATTGCGCCGCTTGGCACAGGGTCACCGGAAAGGTTTGGACGAGCTTGTCCACGTTGACCAGAACTGTGTTCCACAAGAGCCGCAGATCTTATCTGCTTTAAAGTTACTTTCAAGAGATTTCGCGGGATTTTTGGGCTCGCCGCATGGAAGAAATTGGAAGAATCTACCAGAGCTTGGTGAATCGCCCCACGTTCTGATATGTTCTGATGAGCTCCAGCTGCTCCACCAGGTGAAAAAGATATTTCACACATATTTCACACCTGATAAAAGAGTTTAACTCAAAATATTTCAGCATATTTCAGCACTTGGAACTTGACATATCTTGAAATGTTGAGATCCGGAGGTGGAACTTGTCTCCCCACATGCCACGGGAAGGCCCATCTGGTGGTCCTGAGGTGCAGCGAATGGAGTGCATCGCTTCTGGCATCCACCTTCACACCGGAAGATGCGTGCCACTGGCGTGCTGTTTGTAAATGAGTGGGACTTCAAATCAGTTGGAGATAGTTGAAAGCCTTTTGGAGAATCAAGTCGGCCAGATCTTTGAAAAACTTTGGATTCTGGATGCCAGGAAGCCTCGTCTCTCCAAGAAGCAGAAGCAGAAGATGCGGCGTCGGATCGGGTTGCCCGGTTTTTTTTGCGCAGAGCAGGGGATGGGTGGCTCTACAACATCCCAAGGGCCCAGAGCCTCCAGAGTTTTTACGTTGTTTATAAGTGTAGGTATTGATTATTGACAGTGTCGCCAACATTCAACAAGACATGGCGCGCACAGTTGAGTTTTTGTGTTGTGTATTGGTTGTGGGTTGTTTTCCGGGCAGCTATCTCAGTGCCAGATTCCACGGATTCAGACTTTGATCAACCTGCAGTGCCAGATTCCTCGCAGTTTGATATCGGATTCAGTTTGATAGTTTGATCGGATCGGCGCCACATTGCTATGGCGGAGGCGGAATTGATCTGGGTATCTGGGGGAGAATGCGTTTGCTTTTGGGATGTTTTGGGATGATCCCGGCAATGGGAAGCCAGGAGAATGGTGAGAGGAATGAGGAAGTGCCAGAACTGCGGACTTTGATTCAGAACGAGTTTCAAAAGCAATCGCAGTTGCTTGGCTGCGAGCAATAGATGCGAAGTAGTCTGCTATAGGCATCGGTTGGGTTGGGAGCCACGGGGAGCCACGGGGAGCCACGGGGACTCGGCTCAGGATTTTGGAGACCGTCGTCACCGAGCTGAGACTTCTCCAGTCCGTCAATCAAATCCAGCTGATGTCAGATGCCGAGGCAGGGCCGTGGGAAACCATGGGCCGTCGTTGAGAGGTTACATGGCCATCACTTTTGCAGGTGGAAGAGGTGGAAGAGGTGCACCATCCGAAACCTGAAGGTGCGCGACCCATGGAAAAGATTTTGGACTTCGAACAGGACCGAAGCGCCTGAACAGGTGCTTTAGATTGTTGCATTGGCATTGGCCAGTTGCTGATGACGAAGTCAAGCAAGTTTCTTGGTCTCTGGAGATTGGAGTCTGTTCGGAGTTTGCCAAACCTATGCGTCCGAGAATTTGGTGGCAAACTTGGTCAGACTTGTTCCATACACGTGGTGCAGGAAGAGCATCACCCATCACCACATAAGAAAGCCAGCAGCCGAAGCAGCGGGCGGCAGAGCAATCGCCATTTTTGGGCTGCTGATGGCCATGGACAGGTCAGAAACCGTGCAGATTTTTTGTTTTTCTGGTCATTTTTGGGCTGTCTCGAATTTTGATGGCTCAATGATCTCATGGACACGTTTTGCCATGGACATCAACTAGGTCAAAAAAGCAGCGCTGGAAAGAGACTCCTAGCAGCGCTCAGTTGTTGCTTTCCCGTGCAGTGCATCATCAAAGTCTGAGGATGACCAGAACTGAAAAAGACAGAAAAAACACATCAATTTGATGTCAATTCACATCAATTCACCAGAATGTTGCTCACATGCACCAGTCCATCACTACTGCTAGCCCCTTGCAGCAAACCTTGATTGGAAAATTGACCCGAAACATGGCGAGCAGCAGCACCCAATAGTAGTGGCATGGCGACTTTGCCAGTTGGTGTCCAATTTCGAGCAGGGGGTATATATGTAGGTACATACTTTTTTTTCTCCATATATATATAATACAATATATATATATATAATATATAATATAATATATATATATAATATAATATAATATATATATATATATATATAATATAATATATATATATGTATATAATATAATATATATAATATATAATATATATATAATATAATATATATAATATATATATAATATAATATATATAATATATATATAATATAATATATATATAATATATAATATAATATATATAATATATAATAATATATATATATAATATAATATATATATAATATAATATATATATATACATATATATAATATAATATATATATATATATAAATAATATAATATATATAATATAATATAATATAATATAATATATAATATATAATATATAATATATAATATATAATATATAATATATTATATAATATAATATATATATATATTATATTATATATTATATATATTGTATATATTATATATAAATAACACATATCATATTATGCATATGCTTGCCTGGCCCTTGCCAAGTCATTGGCGTGGGTTCCAGTCCGAGAAGTGGAATGCTGTTCGTCGACGGGTGCTAAGGATGACAGCTTCCTGAAATCAGGACCCTGTTTCATTGTGCAGCTGAAAAAAATCGTGGCATCTGCCGCCTTCACCTATACTATCCTTGGATTGACTCTCGCCCAGATCTTGATTCACCCTAGGCCAAACATTCTCTGATTGGGGTGGTGTGCTTCCCTCTTCATGCGCAAGTTTGAGATGTTTTGCTGCAGAGGATCTGTGCTGATCTGTGTTCACGGTGTTTCGGGCAATCTTTTGTCTCATGTCTCAACATGTCTCAACATGTCTCAACATGTCTCAACTGTCTGAGGATCATGGTGAATTTGGTGCTTCTTGGAATTGAGGTAGATCTCGGCTCTGTGATGCCATATGGACAGGCACCTCGCTGGTTCTATGAGGCTCGGCAAGATGGCGAGGCAGTGATGCCGCAGATGGCAGCCCCTGACCCTGCTGTGCAGTGCTGCACCCGTGAAGCATCTTGAGCTCATTGCCCTAGCCCTATGGCCCTATGTCCTTCCTAAGGAAATCAACCTTATTATCGTCATAATCTTCACATGCGAAGTTCTCGCAAAGATTCTCCTCTTTGGCTTTCGCCACTTCTTCTGTGGAAATGAGCAATGGTCAGTTGCTGAGTCGCGCGAAGGAAGGGGCGATTTCAGAGATTGCTGGGGCAAAATCCCAGCTGCAGGGGCATTGCAAAAAGTCTCAAAAAGTCGACCGTGTTTGTTCTTGACCTTTTGACATTTTCGAAACAAAACTCGACATTTCGAGGGTCGCCTCTTGACGCAGTGATGATGATGATGATGATGGTGGTGATGGTGATGGTGATGCCTTTACCGTATTTGCCGCTGTTTGTTTCTACTTCCCTGAGTGCTGCTGAGGTGGAATATATTTGATTTTGGAGTTGTCATGCTCTCCGTTTCCCAGCAGCACATGAGCTTCCCATGAAAACAAGCAAAATCGAAAAAGATGGTCTGGGGCAGAACTCTAGACTCAGGCTGCCAAATTGATTTTCCTCCTTTCTCAGCACCCATCTGATATGCGACATAGCTTTTACAAAGCGAGTGTGCTGACGCGACATTCCCGCGATCAATTCAGTTTCAAACTTTCAACTTCAAGATTAGAGAGACGTTGCTATCAGGATTGAACGTCGTGTGACCAGTGCCTCATTCGAGAACTACAATTTTTCCAGACTGAAGCAACGCATGGGAATTCAGAGGTCTTGGAGCTGCTGGTTGAGTTCTTTGTCAGTACTATCACTCAGGACCGAATTCAGAGTGATTGGCTCAGGGGCTGTGACCGGTGAATCGTAAGTTGCCACACAAATTCAAAGGGTAATCCTGCTTACTTGATATCGTGTTGATATTGGGCTACATTGGGCTACATTGGGCTACCATTCCGTCAGGCTAGGGGCCGTATATACCAGGACACGGTGCAGGTTAAGGTTCTGTCGCAACGGAGGTAAGCAAGGAAGGAAAATAAACACACACACACACACCACAGATACCGTACGTACGTACAGTAAAGTACAGTACAGACCATTGCCACAAGTCCCAACATGTTGTCCGATACATGGTCCGAGTCCATGGTCTTTCGAGAGATTGTAATCTTTCAATCAAGTTGCTTGAAAATCCCGGTAGGAGATGAACAGCAGCAATTTGAGAGTCATGCGTTTCGTGCGCTTGGCCCGAACCCTGCGTGGGGTGCGTGTCATTCGATTGCTGAGATACATTAGTTCCCTCAGGACCATTGCAGCATGGCTGAAGCATTTGATTGGAAACGACTTTTTTGATTAAGGATTCTGGATTAGCTGTTTTGAGACAGTTTGCACATGTTTGCACCATGATCGAAAGATGCAAAAGGATGAAAAAGGCATAGTTTGAGTCTAGCCCGGTCTAGGCATTTGGAGGCGTGGAAATTTCCAATGGCCCCAATGGGCTTCCCATCGGCTTCCCCTTCCCAGCCAGGTTTTTTCAATTGTCAGCACCTTGGGCTCGCTCTTTTGGACCTTGGTGCTGCTTCTGATGCTTTTTTACTGCTTCAGCGTGCCTTGGAGAAATTGGAGAAAGGTCCGACAGAAAGGTCTTGCCACAAGTTGTTCTCAATGCCTTTCTTTGGTCAGTCTACAGGCTACAGCTTTGAGAGTAGGGCGAAGAATTTCTGGTCAAATACGACTGACGTGTTGCGACCGTCTTGCAGGTTCATGTTTCCGCACTGTTGGCAAGTCCAGAACAGATGGAAGCAGGAATAGGCTTCACAAGCAGCAGGGCAAAAGATCCACGTCATAGTTTTTTGTCATCAGCAAGATTTTTTATGTTAGAAAGCCTGCTGAAGTTGATTGGCGAGTGTATTTGGACCGTGTATTTGTGTATTTGGACCTTGAAGTTGATTTGTTCAGCTTCTCCCTTCTTGCATAAATTTAAAAACGCTTGGACTTAAGGTGATCATCACCCAGTCTGTGGCGGATTATTGCAGGCCGCGGGGAAAACTGCGAATCATTTGAGAAAGCTGGTGGATCCTTAAGGATCAAGAGAAAGTCGATGAAATTCATGACCCAATGACCATGGACAGCTACCCTCTGGTTATGTCAAAATAGCTATTGAAAATGGCAACTTATAGTGAGTTTTCCCATTAAAAATGGTGATTTTCCATAGCTATGTTAGTTTACCAGAGGGTAATCAGGATTTTCTGATTGACTGAATCCGCCAGAAATTAATGGATCAAACTGGTGGAGGAGTGAGGAGCACTACAGAAATATGCCCTGTCCCGCTGAGCTCAAACGGTGCCTCGGCAGTAGCATCAAAATTGATGCCATGACCTGCCGTACCATCACCAGCCATCATTATCCATCACCCAGTCACAAAAGATCAATAAAGATCACATAAAGGTACTAAAGGTATTACACATGGCGGTATTGGCGGTGCGTCGCCTGCGTCGCCTGCCTGTGAGGCATTGGTCAAGTATAAGCGAATCCATGCTGACGCTCTTCTTGGCCATCTCTGGTGGGCTGAGTTGGGAGGAAGCTTTGAATCCTCTCAGGGCCGTTGGGATCACTGCCTTCGGGGCAGTGATTCTGTACATTGCTCCGTGGCCGCAAGTGACGCAAGTGTGACGCAAGTGTAACGCTTTTGGGCGATGGGAGGCTATGGGACGATGGAGAAAATTTCAATTTGAAAATTTCAAACGCTATGGGACGATTAGTCAAAGAAGGTCGTGCTGAAGGCGCCGTGGTCTGTGTGGCAGACGATGCAGGTTTACTTGCTCTATGTGTTGACAGCAGCACTGGTGAGATGGTAGAATCTGGTAGAATCTGGTAGAATGGTACTTTGTCAAAGGAAGTTTAGAAGAAGAGGAAGCCCAATCAGAGAAGCTTTGGCCCGAAGAAAAGATAGTTCACTGGAGACGTAGCACAGAGAAGTAGCGCAGAGAAGTAGAGAATAAGTAGTTTAGAGAAGAGGTATCCCGGTATCCAGTAGAAATATAGAACTCAGACATCGTAGCTGAGAGAAGGCTTAGCACTGAGCACGTAGGAGTCGTTCAGAAAAGTCATTGGTTGACTGATTCATTCACTAATGGTCCAATGGTTGAGTGATTCATTGACTCATGGTTGTGTGATTTGATTTATTGATTCGATTGGAATGGATTAAATTAAATTGGATTGGCTTGGCTCGGCTTGGAATGGGTTGGATTGGATTAGTGAATGATTGAAAGATTGATTCGTTGCTTGATTGATTGGCTGATTATTTGGTTGACTGTTTGACTGATTGATTCATGCGTTCATTGATTCATTGATTGCATTACTCACTCACTCACTCACTCACTCATTCCTTCCTTCATTCATTCATTCATTCATTCACTCATTCATTCATACAGTCAATCAATCAATCAGTCAATCAGTCAGTCAGTCAGTCAGTCAGTGAGTCAGCCAGTCAGTCAGTCAGTCAGTGAGTCAGCCAGTCAGTCAGTCAGTCAGTCATTGAGTCAGCGAGCCAGTCAGTCAGTCAGTCAGTCATTGAGTCAGCGAGCCATTCAGTCAGTCAGTCACTGCTTGATTCATTAATTCTCTGATCCATTCATTTATTCATTCCTTGAATCACTTCATTCATTCCTTCATTCGTTGGGGTCATTAATGCGTTCGGACATTCATTCTTGCATTTACTCATTGGTTCATGATTCATCCATTCATTCGTTCATTTGTTTCATGATTTGTTGATTCAGTCACTCCTTGACTCATGCATTCATGGAGTCCTTCCATGCATGCATTCACACAGACATGCATTGATGCGCAGTCTTGCTTTCATCCATTCATCCACTCATCCATTCGTCCACTCATTCAGCCAGCCGCTGATGTATCCATGTATCCATCCATCCATTGATTCTTGCATGCATAGGCGCATTCACCAGTCACTTGCTGTTGGTGATGCTGCGTTGTTGAAACGTGTGAGAAGAGGCTCTGCTGCAGAGGTATTCATTCGCCTGTGTCACACTGAGGTTATTGCAGAATTTGCCGTGATGAATGTCATTTTGGGAGTGTCGCTCACTCCAATTCGCAATTTCTCGTGTCAAAGACCAAATTCCAAGAGCTCAGTACACTTTTTGCCAAGAGCACACTGGTGGATAGCCAACTGACGAATTGTGACAGAATTTTGCATGTGCTCTGTGTGGACAAGGTTACATAGGTGTTACAGATCACAGCCGACAAGCCCAGTACACTGGCTTCGCATTCTTGCATTTGCTTGCACCGCGCACAAGTAGTGTTGCCACACTGTAAGCAAGGATGATGGACAAAATGCATACACGAACTCGTCCATGTTTTAAGATCTACATTGCCAACTGTGGTTCTTTCTCTTTCTTTGTCTTTAGACAGCACAGACAGACGGATAGATAGATAGATAGATAGATAGATTAGATAGATAGATCGATAGATAGATAGATAGAATAGAATAGAATAGAATAGAAAGATAGATAGATAGATAGATAGATAAATAGATAGATAGATAGATAGATACACAAATACATGCATACATACGTACGTACCTACGTACCTACGTACCTACGTACCTACGTACATAGAAACATAGAAACATAGAAACATAGATACATAGATACATAGATACATAGATAGATAGATAGATAGATAGATAAATAGGTAGATAGATAGGTAGATAGATACATACATACATACATACATACACACATACACACATACACACATACAGACACACATACAGACACACATACAGACATACATACATACTTACATACATATGCATACATATATACATACATACATACATACATACATACATACATACATACATACATACATACATACATACATACATACATACATACATACATACATACATACATACACACACACATACATACATACATACATACATACAGACACACACACACATACATACATACATACATACATACATACATACAGACAGACAGACATACATACATACATACATATACAGACATACATATACATGCATACATATACATACATGATGTATGTAAGTATGTAATGTAAGTATGTTGATTGTTGATCACTTTGGTTGTCAATAATTCCCCTTTTTAAGAAATGGGTTTGTTGGACTTGTTTGCAGCAACGCAGTTCGTTGCGAACTACGTATGTTGGACCGTCATCATCCCCGAAGGTTTTGCAACACTGCCATTGAGAGCGCTGGAGCTGACAGGGACTGTGACGTGTGGTTGTTGTGTTGGGGCCAGATACTTGCTTTGACTTCTGGGGGTTGCAAGAAATTGCGGACCCTCGCCATGTTGAGTGTGTACGTTTTGTGTTTTTTGAGCCCAACATTTGTTCGCAAAAAGTGCAATGCTAAGCTTTCACAGTTTTTGCCGTGTACCCTTTCAAAACCTGTCCTTGCTGCTGTGGTATATTTCTGTAGTGCATCTGCAATTTTCTTCTATCGAAATGCGAGTTGAACATGTCCACATTCTGTCTGGAGACTGACTGGATCTGCTTTTGCCAGAATTACCAACATATTTTTCTCCTTTGATGAGACCATTCCTATGTAGACCCACCATTCCCCTTGAAAGCCTTGAAAGGCGGCATGACATCACACGGTCACAGGTTCAAACCTTTGTTTCCTGCAACCTGAAGTTCTCATTGCTAGCAGTGTTAGCAGTGGTTGCTGTGGCAGGAAATTGCCATTATGAAACAGATGAAAAAGCAGGAGAATCAGATGAAAACCCTCAAGGCGCGGAAGGTGTTGTTGTTTGTCACGAGGGCCTTTTGAAAGGACAACCCTTCACCGGACCACGGGGGAGTTTGCAGGAGATTTTCAACGAGATCGATTTGGACTGTTCCAGTGAGATCAATCTGCAAGAACTCAAGGTGCGGCGTGCATGTGTTCACTTAATTTGTTGGTACAATCTAGTACGTCCCCTCAATAACTCACCCATTTGCTGTATCTAAAATTGGAAACTGAAGAGAGTTTATGATCGCCAAAATTTCATGCACAGGGATTCCGGCGTATCCAGGAATACCAAAGCATGTTCACTCCGCCTGAGCAATATCATAGTACCTCTGTGCTTCCGAAAGTAGCCTTTCGCATCGGCCACTGCTGACACATGGTCAGGAAGCTTTGAAGAGTTCGAAGTTGAGGAGTTTCATGAAACTCGGCAGTTTTGAGCGACGCAAGGTGTTCATTGAAGTTTATCAACTGTGAGGACGTAGACCATGTAGATGGTAGACGCTTCTAAGAGTAGCGAAGGCACTCCGCAAGGTGATGATTTCATGCAAGAGCCGGTGGAACGGGCACAAGAAAACCTGGTTGATGGTGTAGATTGTGCGCGCCCTTCATACATCAGCTGTCATGATCGTCACGATGAAGGAGATATATTACTCGCTACTTTTAGTGAGACTTCCTGATTCGTCTCACTGGGTTGCTGCCAAGAATCCAAGAGGTTAAAGCCACCAGTCCTTCTGCATTTACCCGGCAGCCCTTGCAGCCACTAGAGCCCACATGATCTTTTTTTCAGGTCTCACCATGTGGGTCAAATCTCAGCTTCTCAGTCAATCTGCAGCTGCGATGAACAGGGCACCTGAAAAATCGCCAAGGACATCAATTGGAATCAGCACGGACGATGTCTGGACACTCTTCATGTGGCTTGGCTGTAATTTATGTGGTCATGAAAGAAGATTGGCTTTTATGATTTAGATGGAACCTGGTCACTGTTCACATTCTCTTCCCAGTTCTCTCTGTTTGGTGCAAGAGATGTGTGACGCACCGCCCAGGACAGTTGATACTGACGGGAGCGGAGAGAAGCTAAGCTGAAAGTTGAGTTTCAGTTGTTCAGAGCTCACCCCGTTTCCAGCTTCCAATCAGATGGGCAGGAACGAGGAAGACCCAAGGAGGCGAAAAAAAAGACCCAAGGATTTGACGCGGGGCACAAAACACCGTAAATACCGGTGTTTTGGGCACCTCAGAAGCAAACAACTAAATTATTTGCGAGGTTTTTGGAGCTTGGGAGAAAAATCACAGGATTTGTTTTGGACAGCACCTAGCAAAAACACTGGCATTTACGCAGCTTTCAGCATGTTGCTAAAAGTGTTTTTTCCATGCAAGAGGCACAAAACACTGTAAATTACAATGTTTTTGTTTTAGGCACGCACCACAAACATATCAAAAATCAACCAACAAGTGCCCAAAATGGACCTTCCAGACCCTACTTGGCAGCAAGCACCGTTTTATTCCATGTTGGGCGGACTTTTGACCCCCAAAAACGTCAAAACACGGTTTTTTGCCACCGGACGCAAAGACCACAGTATTTAAATACTGGTATTTATGCAGTTTTCAGCATGTTGCAAGCAATACTTTTCCATGCCAAAGCGACAAAAAACGCTGTAAATTACAATGTTTTGGCTTTTAGCAGGCATCAAAATAACAGCAAAAGATGACCAACACTGTCCCAAACAGAGCGGCGGCCCATTGGTTGAAAATACACCAAAAAATGTGAAAACACCACCGGAGTGAAGGATTTTGGGGAGGGTCTGCAGCCGGGAAGAGTTGCTGGTCAAAAGTACGGCTAGGGCATGCCGGATTTAAGCGCTTACGCGCGACAGCCGGCCAGGGGCCCATGTTGAGGTGAGAGGGGTCGAGCAGGGAGGAAGAGCTCAAGGCTATGTTGCCCCACCGGGAGGCTATGTAGGTCTAGCTTGGGGCTGTCGGGGGGTAGCTTGGGACTAGGTGGGCGGCGGTTGCAGGGGTCTTTGGGGCGGCATGGGTTGTGGCTGGCGTTGTGGTTATTGCTGTGGTTGTCGTTGTCGTTGTCGTTGTTGTTGTTGTTGTTGTTGTGGTGGCCGTCGTCGTCGTCGTCGTCGTCGTCATCGCCGCCGCCGGCGTCGTCGTCGTCGTCGTCGTCGTGGTTCTTGTTGTTGTTGTTGTTGTTGTTGTTGTTGCCGTCGTCGTCGTCGTCGTCGTGGTTGTTGTTGTTGTTGTTGTTGTTGCTGCTGCTGCTGTGTTGTTGTTGTTGTTGTTGTTGTTGCTGGTGTTGTTGTTGTTGTTGTTGTTGTGGTTGTTGTGTGTGGTTTGTGGTTTGTGGTTTGGGGTTTGGGGTTTCTGGTTTGTGGTTCGCGGTTTGTTGTGAACGGCTTGGGGCTATATGGGCCCATCTTGGGGCTATGTTAGCCTTTCTTGAGGGCAATTTGGGCCCATCTTAGGGCTATGTTGGCCCATCTTGGGCTATGTTGGCCCATCTTGGACCCATCTTAGGGCTAGGTTGGCCCATCTTGGGGCTATGTTGGCCCATCTTGCGGCCTATGTTGGCCCATGTTGACCCATCTTCAGCCACAAACTCGGAAAATGGGAAAAAATGGGAACCGGTCTCCGGCGGCACAGGCGGCGGCCCCTCTCTCCTTCGGAGAGGAGAGAAGGCAAGGACACGGCCAGCTCCGGGCCCGCGGGCCCCTGGCCGGATTTAATTAAGCGCTTACACGCGACAGCCGGCCAGGGGCCCATGTTGAGGTACCCGTGAAGTTGCCTTCAAGACATGATTACCCGCTTCGAAATGAGAGCAAATCGGCGGATCGCGCTTTCGGCCTGCAGCTGGTCGTGCCTAACGCCGCTTTCTGAACCCGCAAGAAATCAGCTCCAACCACCTCCAAAATGCATTCCCAGGCTTCCAAAACGGACCCCTCCGCCACACTGAAACAGCGTGCCAGTGAAGGCCGGATCGCGCCTTCTTGTGCACCTGGTCGTGCCTAACGCCATTTTCTGAGTCCGCAAGAAATCAATTCCAAAATGCATTCACACGCTTCCAAAACGGACCCCTCCGCCACACTGAAACAGCGTGCCAGTGAAGGCCGGATCGCGCCTTCGTGTGCACCTGGTCGTGCCTAACGCCATTTTCTGAGTCTGCAAGAAATCAATTCCAAAATGCATTCACACGCTTCCAAAACAGACTCCTCCGCCACACTGAAACAGCGTGCCAGTGAAGGCCGGATCGCGCCTTCTTGTGCACCTGGTCGTGCCTAACGCCATTTTCTGAGTCCGCAAGAAATCAATTCCAAAATGCATTCACACGCTTCCAAAACGGACCCCTCCGCCACACTGAAACAGCGTGCCAGTGAAGGCCGGATCGCGCCTTCGTGTGCACCTGGTCGTGCCTAACGCCATTTTCTGAGTCTGCAAGAAATCAATTCCAAAATGCATTCACACGCTTCCAAAACAGACTCCTCCGCCACACTGAAACAGCGTGCCAGTGAAGGCCGGATCGCGCCTTCGTGTGCACCTGGTCGTGCCTAACGCCATTTTCTGAGTCCGCAAGAAATCAAGTCCAAAATGCATTCACACGCTTCCAAAACAGACCCCTCCGTGAAGCAGTGTGCCTGTGAAGGCCGGATCGCGCCTGCAGCTGGTCGTGCCTTACGTCGCTTCTTCGGCCTGCAGCTGGTCGCGCCTCAAGAAATCAGCTCCAAAATATATTCCCAGAATTCCACAACGGGCCCCTCCGCCACACTGAAACTGCATGCCAGTGAAGGACGGATCGCGCCTTCCGCCTGCAGCTATTGTGCCTGGCTGCAGCTGGTCGTACCTAATATTACCTAATGTCGCTTTCTGAACCCAGATCGCACGTGCTGTGGTTTCGTGCCCTTCTTTCCCTTGGCCCTTGGCCTCTTGTTTCGGCTATCGGGCCGCACTGAAACAGCATGCCAGTGAAGGACGGATCGCGCTTGCCGTGGTTTCGTGCCTTTCTTGCCCTTGGCCCTAAACCTCTTGTTTCGGCTTTCGGCCCCCTGCTGCTTGTAATCTCTTCCTGAAGCGCTCCCCCTGGCTGTCGGCAGGGGCCGGCGGACAATTCAAAACAAGCTGACCACACAGCAGCCTGGGCTCGGGCTTGCTACTTTGGACTCCATCTTCTTTGAACTCTCAAGGAATTTGCAAGACGCGGCTCTGTCTGCGGCGCTGAGGATATCCCTTGACGAATTTGTTCATGGATGTATGCAGCTACAAGGCCCAGCGAAGGGACTTCAGGCCTGCTGTGGCTGTTGTGTTTTGTAATTTTCAGGGCAGTTTGCTGTGTCATTGTCAGTACGTTCTGGGCTTGAAACCAGCTTTACCCTTGTCGCAATGGCAGGTTGCTCGCATGAGCTATGAAAACACAGTCCCTTGCGAATGGGTGGGGCGGGTGAAGGACCGATCTTCACAAGCTTGAACATGTGACAGGAAGCTGATTACTCTTTAGTACATTCAAGCCCTTAGCGAGCCATGCTGCAGCCATGAACTTTCCGTTTTTTTGTGCATTCAATGTGACAATCCAATGTGAGTGACCAAGTTAGTGTACCTTAGCAGGTTCTGAGGATTGGCACCGTTCCTGGTTTCACCAAGGTCATGAGAGGGGAAATCAAAAAAATCCGTGAGGAAGTGGTACACTTCCAACAAGAGATGATGCACAGAACGTCGGTGGCTGCCCCTGTCATTATTAGGGCTCGGGCAAGTTCAAGTTAGTTTGGCAGTCCTGTGGGATAAGAACTGAACCCTGAAAAGCTTTGGCCGCAGCCGGTGTGCCTGGAAGTAGAGACTTTTTGAGCTATTTTTTTTACATGTAAACATATCTCATTGCGTGTTCACAACGGCCACAGCTGTGGCCATTGTCAATGGAGTAAACCCAAACACAACCGCGCGGCTTCGGCGCGGTTTCATGTTCCTTGTCCTCGGCATTCCTTGGCAAAGCCAGGGCCGGGGCATAAAATGCTTTGCGCGGATTCATGCTACATGAATAGCATGAGATGACAGAAGATCGTGGGTGTAAACTCGAAAATATTTATTGAGGGTATATCAATATATGATTATATGTATATATATATATATCTGTATATTGATATATACATGAGTAAATATGTATAATGCATATATATATATATATGTACATACATGTACATCTGTATATAGATGTCTTTATGCATATGTATATATACATACTTGTATACACATATATATATATATACGTATACAGATCAATAAATAAATGAATAAATAGATAAATAATTATACGTATATATACAAAAGTGCAAATATGTGTGTGTATATATATGTAAATATGTGTATATATGTGCATGCCTATGTATAAAAATATATGTGTGTGTATGTTAATATATGTATATATATGTGTATGTTAATATACTCTTATGTATATGCATACATACTTTTGAAATACATATATATATATTGATGTAAATATTATATATATTGTGCGCAATATATTGTTTTTTGAAAATATACGTATATCTGCGTATATATAAGTAGATATACATATAAAAGTGTGTATATATCTATGAATATAAATATATATGTATATATATATATGTATATATATGTACAAGTAAATTTACGTATGTATATATATAAATACATATATGCATATATGTATATATATATTTATGTATATGCATAAATATATGCATATATGTATTTTTATATATATATATATATGTATATTTCAATAATACTGTACTTATATTTTTAAATATCTACACTTGTAGATATATATATATATATTCGTATTTACATGTAAATATATGTATATGTATGTGTATATAAATGTCAACAATTAATTTTATATGTGTATATGTAAATATGTATTTTATTCATGTATATGTGAGAGACATTTGTTATATATATATATATATATATCTTCAAATATGTACATATATATTTATATATATATGTATGTGTATATATATATATATCAAGTATGTATACACATTTGTTAGTATAGATATATATGTATTTTTTTACCTACATATATATTTGTATATATGTCAAAAGGTATATTTAAACATGTATGTATATATAGGTATATGTTTAGATGTGTAAATGTATATATACATGTATATATATATAGTTGTTTTTTCGTCAAGCATATGTATATATATATTTGTACATTTTTGTAAGTATTTATTTATAGACGTTTGAAAATACATAAATGCTTTCTTTATACATGAAGATGTATGTATATATATATATATTACATATATAACTCTGGATAAATATGTGGATATGTATGTGTATATTTGTAAAAGAATATATATGTATAAATGTACACGGATATATAATTTTAATATTTATATATGCAGAATATTTACAAATATATAGATGTATAATATACACTTATAGATGTAGAATACATATACATATACATATATATAGATGTATAATATATATATATATAGATGTAAAAAATATATTTATAGTATGTATATGATATATATGCATAATATATATAAATGTATATGTATATACACGTATAAAATATACGTATGCATTATATTTATATATAGATGCATAGTTTATTTATGTATATGTATATAATATATATGTATAAGTTGTATATGTATTTTTTTGTACAATATGTACAATATATGTTGACATGTGTACAATGCATTTAAATATACATATGTATATATATGTATGGATGTATGAAATGTATGTATGTATGTATGTACGTATGTATGTATGTATTTAAATTTTTATTGTCAAAATGTACATATAGTTATATATGCATGTATATTTAAAATTTACAAATGTATTCTATATGTATCTCTATGTGTATATAAATATATATTTGTTCATGGAAATAAATATGTTTAATTAGGTTTTTATATAAGCACATATTTGTATATTTACATCTATTTGAGAAAGAGATATACACATATATTTATTTGTTATATATCAAATTTGTTTTTTGATTGCAGACAACTTTGTAGCTTTCAGCGCGTCTCCGAGTTCCTACGTGGAATTTCTTGACCCTTCCTGAACTTTGTGCCATCAAACTGCCGCCAGAATGGCATCTGTTCCCATTGGAATCCACAGAAAAATATGCCCAGACTGGTGCTGCAACAGTTTGTGATGCACAACCTGTAAGATCCTTTTTCAGCAGATGCAAAGAACATTTGCGAAACTGTCACAAACATGGCACCAACACAATATACTCATGTATCCATAATATTTGAAACCTGGGTTTGCAGTGTAATTACAGTGATTAAATCCCATCCACTTCAAGTTATCTCAAGAAAGGGTGGTGCCATGACGAGGAAAACCGCAGAACTGCCATCAGCTGCAGTCGATGGGGGAAGTCCCCTGGGTAAAACACCAAAATTCAACTGATATCTTTGGCACTCGCTGAAAATTCAGTGTTGGAACAAAACAGTTTTCGACCAGATCCACTAGACTAAACGGTACTTTGATGGATGCAAATGGTACTTTGAAACATTGAGTGCTTCATTCCCGGGGCTTTCCCTTAGTGCACCAGCCCACACTCCAAGTTTCACCGATCCACCGGGTTGCACAGAGACCTCGAAGATGGCGGCACTCCCGTTGTGTCTACGGGGCAGCTTGGAATCCACGAATGGGAAAAAACAGCATCGTACATCATTTTCTTTCTGTCTTTGTGTCTTTCTGTCTTTCTTTCTTTCTGTCTTTGTGTCTTTCTGTCTTTCTGTCTTTCTTTCTTTGTGTCTTTGTGTCTTTCTGTCTTTCTTTCTTTGTGTCTTTGTGTCTTTGTGTCTTTCTGTCTTTGTGTCTTTCTGTCTTTGTGTCTTTCTGTCTTTCTTTCTTTCTGTCTTTGTGTCTTTGTGTCTTTCTGTCTTTCTGTCTTTCTTTCTTTGTGTCTTTGTGTCTTTGTGTCTTTGTGTCTTTGTGTCTTTCTGTCTTTGTGTCTTTCTGTCTTTGTGTCTTTCTGTCTTTCTGTCTTTCTGTCTTTGTGTCTTTCTGTCTTTCTGTCTTTCTGTCTTTCTGTCTTTCTTTCTTTGTGTCTTTGTGTCTTTGTGTCTTTGTGTCTTTCTGTCTTTGTGTCTTTGTGTCTTTCTTTCTTTCTGTCTTTCTGTCTTTGTGTCTTTGTGTCTTTGTGTCTTTGTGTCTTTGTGTCTTTGTGTCTTTGTGTCTTTGTGTCTTTGTGTCTTTGTGTCTTTGTGTCTTTGTGTCTTTGTGTCTTTGTGTCTTTGTGTCTTTCTGTCTTTGTGTCTTTGTGTCTTTCTGTCTTTCTGTCTTTGTGTCTTTGTGTCTTTGTGTCTTTCTGTCTTTGTGTCTTTGTGTCTTTCTGTCTTTGTGTCTTTCTGTCTTTCTTTCTTTCTGTCTGTGTGTCTTTCTGTCTTTCTTTCTTTGTGTCTTTGTGTCTTTGTGTCTTTCTGTCTTTGTGTCTTTGTGTCTTTCTGTCTTTCTGTCTTTGTGTCTTTCTGTCTTTCTGTCTTTCTGTCTTTCTGTCTTTCTTTCTTTCTTTCTGTCTTTCTGTCTTTCTGTCTTTCTTTCTTTGTGTCTTTGTGTCTTTGTGTCTTTCTGTCTTTGTGTCTTTGTGTCTTTGTGTCTTTCTGTCTTTCTGTCTTTCTGTCTTTCTTTCTTTCCGTCTTTGTGTCTTTCTTTCTTTCTTTCTGTCTTTCTGTCTTTCTGTCTTTATTTCTTTCTTTCTTTGTGTCTTTGTGTCTTTGTGTCTTTCTGTCTTTGTGTCTTTGTGTCTTTGTGTCTTTGTGTCTTTGTGTCTTTCTTTCTTTCTGTCTTTGTGTCTTTGTGTCTTTCTGTCTTTCTGTCTTTGTGTCTTTCTGTCTTTGTGTCTTTCTGTCTTTCTGTCTTTCTGTCTTTCTGTCTTTCTGTC